AACAATTCCTCCCTCCGCCGCCTCCCTCCGCCTTAGCTCCTCCGGGTCCTCCTCCAGGCCTTCGCCGCCATCGAGCGAAATAAAGGGTGGGCCCCTGGGCGCCCACATTATCATAAAGGCCTGGGTCAGAATAGTGCACCTCAGCTCGGGTTATGAACGTAATGAGCTGACGGGCGAGATGCAGCATACCTTTCGCGACTAGCATATCTTGCCGGTCGTGCCTGCCGAGATCTGCACCTAGCTTGGCCAGGCGGTCAGCGGTATCGTTGCCCCCGAACGTGTTCCATGTTCGAGGTGGGCCTCGACCTTGCAGAACACGATACGGGAGAAAACATTTCTGTCGTGCAACCCTTTTTTCCACATGCGCATGCAATTGTTAGCTGGACTCTCGGCCCACCTGCGCTGGTAGCAGCAGCAAACAAGCGTGCCTTTACAATCTGAGTAGAGCGTGAAAGTGCCGACTACAAAAACTGGTGGCCATGAAAACTGCAAAATCGTCGCCGTCGCGGGCGACTTGGTCTGGAAACGTGGCTGGCGGGACAGCTCCATACCAGCTTGTGATCCAGCGGCGCCCGCTGTCATACATGGCCACTCCCCAACCTGCAGAGCGCAAAGCGGGGAACATTCCATCGTGAACCGAACCGTCGCAAAAAAAAATGAGCATCCTCCACCGCAAGGCTGGCACCAACACCTTCAGCCTTGAACTCCCACGCTGGGTCCCAAGGCCTCCGCGCGAGGAGCTGACAGGGGTCAGGGAGGATGACGCGAGCGAAACGCTCCTGCAGATCGACCGAGCAGCGGGAGTCGAACCGCCGACGCCTGGAGCTCAGGCGGGAGATTACCTCGGTGCCAAGCTGCACGGGCAGAGCACTCGAAGTGCCTGTGAGAAAGGGTGCCACGAGCACCGTGACAGATGAGGCAGTCTGCCTCCAGCTGGCGGTCGTGCTGATGCAGCCTGTGCTGGCACCACTGCGAGCCCATGACAAGGCCTCTCAAGGTCCTCTGCTCCCACAACCCCCAAGCTCCGCCAGTACCCGACTCCACCCCGTCGTCGTCGTCGTCTAGCACCTTACAGTACAGCCTCTCGTTGAGGGGCCGCCCAAAAAATCGCCTACGTATCCAACCCCTGCAATGTCCAATATTGCTGAGGCCGCGGTGGTCCGACAGGCGCCTAGCGGCAAAGCGGGCACGGCGAGCCACGAACGCAGGCGAGACAGAGGACAGGGACCAAACCTCACCCGAGGCTTCGTGCAAGGTCCAGGGGTCAGCAAACGTCATCCATACTCTGGCAGCAGTGAGGATCAGAGCTGCAACAGGGTCCTTGACTTGCGCCCAAGGGCGGGTTTTCGCCGCGGTGGCCTGCCCTTGGTTAAACAGAAAGCAGCACAGCGGGAGACAGGCGTCCATCCCTGAGTATCTGTAGGAGGAGGAGGAGGAGGAGGAGGAGGAGGAGGAGGAGGAGGAGGAGGAGGAGGAGGAAGAGGAGGAGGAGGCGAGAGGAGGAGGGGGGTCGCCCAAGCCCTTCGGAGAAACCCTCCAGGCGCCGGGGGCGCTGGAAACGCCCGCGCCGCCCTGCTGTTGCCGGGCCTGCCGCCGCTGCCGGGGCCGCCGCTGCTGCCGGGCGGGTCGGCTGCAGGGGCGCTGCCGCGCTCGCCGCTGGGGGCCGCTGCCGCCGCCGGGCCTCTGTCGCTCGCCCGGGGCGCGCGCGGGGGCGGACACCGCGGCCGACTCCGCAAGCGCGGCGCTGCTGCTGTCGCGGCCCCCGAGAGCCAACTTGTCATTGCCCCGGCCTTGCAGACGTGCTGCAGCGGATGTCTGCGCGGAGTTCTGCATGGATGTGTGCCCGAAGCAGGCGAGCGAAAAGCGCAGTGGATGTCACGTGGATGTATGTTCAGTTTTCAGTCCCAGCCAAAAATCCGCAAGAAATTCACCTCGAAATCCGGTACGAAATTCTCCAGAACACTCCTGGCCCATCCTATCGTTTGCCGAACGAGATTCGCTCTGCGATGTGGGCGCCATGAAACTTGCCGAGGGCTCAAAGACAAGCGCGTTCCACTACTCGCAAAGTACTCGCCAATGGCCTCGATCCCCCGCGAGGGAGTCACGATAGATGACGTCGAAGCGAGCGAATTCCTTGTTCGAACATTAGCGCGTAGGCACTGTGCGAGTAAAGGAGCGCGCTCGGTGAGCTCAGGTTCTGCCGGCAGACGGGGCGCGCGGCCGGGGAGCCCCGCTCACCGCGCATGCACGCGGCAGCTTGCGGGCGAGATTGGGGAGCCGAGGAGTTGGGGGGCACGGAGTCGAGGAGTTGAAGAGTGGGGGTTGGGGGGCAGGGTGCCACCGCCGAGGCGCAGCGGCGGCCGGCTCTGTTGGCGCTGCCGCCAGCGCTGCCGCGCGAAGAAGCGGCGGCGCTGCTGGCCCTCTGCAACGCAGCAATGTCCCGGCGCGAACGACAGGCGAGCCGGAGCCAAAGAATCGAGGACTGGAGGAGTTGCGAAGTCGCAACTCAACTCATCAACTTCTCGACTCCTCAACACCTCTCTGAACAGCGGGAAGAGGCGTTGAGGAGTTGAGAAGTGGAACAACTAAAGTCATCAACTTCTCGACTCCTCAACTCCTCTTGGAACAGCGGAGGAGGGGGGAGGGCGAGGGCGGGGGGGTGACCCAGGAACGCCTTCGCCTCTGTCGGCGCTGTCGGCGCGGCGCATCGTCGGCCTCGCTTGGGGGGGGCTCCCTCGGCAGTTCTTGGTCTCGCCGCGCGCGCGGCCGCCGTGGTAGAGACGCTGCTGACTGAGACGCTGCCTTGGAGCGGCGGCGGTGCCGCGGGTGGTGCCGCAACTGTCGGGTCGGGCGAAAGGGGGGGGAATCAGCGTAGCTGACTCCCGGCGCCGGAGGCGGCTATGTATCGAGGAATGGGCCCCTCGGCGAGGCCGAAACCAGCTGCATGCAGCAAATTTCGTAACCCCCCCTTTCCCAATCCCCCCCTTTCGCCCGACCCGCAACTGGCGGCGGGCCTGCCGCCTGCGCGGGCGACGGAAATCCTGCTGCTGCTGCCTCTGCTGCTGCTCCCATGTATGAAGGGGAACTGGAACACACAAATAAATACACACAAATAAAAATATCCCCCGGGTCCGGGTTTTAACTCGGGCTCGGGTTCCCGAAAAAAGGGAACCCGAGCTAGCCCTGACCCGAGTTACCCCTGAGGACTCGGGGCGGCTGGGCGCCCGAGTTGTCCGGGGCAACTCGGGTCCAGGTTTTAACTCGGGTTCGGGTTCCCGGAAAAAGGGAACCCGAGCTAGCCCTGACCCGAGTTACCCCTGAGGACTCGGGAGCAGCTGGGCGCCCGAGTTATCCGGGGTCACTCGGGTCCGGGGTAACTCGGGTTCGGGTTCCCGAAAAAAAGGAGCCCGAGCTATCCCTGACCCGAGTTAGCCCTGATGACTCGGGGCTCTGGGCGCCCGAGTTGTCCGGGGCAACTCGGGTCCGGGTTTTAACTCGGGTTCGGGTTCCCGAAAAAAGGAGACCCGAGTTAGCCCTGACCCGAGTTACCCCTGATGACTCGGGAGCCTCTGGACGCCCGAGTTGTCCGGGGCAACTCGGGTCCGGGGTAGCTCGGGCTCGGGTTCCCGGAAAAAGGAACCCGAGTTATCCCTGACCCGAGTTACCCCTGATGACTCGGGGCTCTGAGAGCAGCTGGGCCAGCGTCCTGCGCTCTTCCTGGAAGCTGGCGAACGTGTCCGCGATGTTGGACGTCGCCGCGACCCGGCCCCCTTCGCGCATCCGCCGCTGCCCCTCGACACGAGAGCTGCAGCCACGACCACAAAACTGTTCCCGCGAGCACCCGCCGGCACGGGAAGAATGACTTCAGATGCGCGAGCGCGCTTCGACGCCCACGTCTGGCGCCGCCCCCGGCGCTGGTGTTCATGGCTGCCGAAGGGGCCCCAGGAGGCGCTGCTGGCAACGACGACGGGTGCGCCGTCGATGGCTTCCTGTCCGCGGAGTGCGCGGCGCCCGCGGTCGGCAAAGCGCCCCGCGCACGCGGCCCCGGCAGGCCGAGAGCGGCAAGCCCGAGCACGGTCCGCAAATATGAGGCCCCTCTGAGCAACGTGTCCCTGAATGCGCCTTCCCAGTTGCCCCTCTTCGGGGCGGACCCTGGCGGGCCGAGAAAGTGTCGAGCCTGAGCACGATCAGGACATGCGAGGCCCCATCTGAACAACGTGTCGCTGACTGTGCTCGCGAACGATCCGCTCAGACTCAACTGGAACTGGTGGGCACGGGCGCGGCGTCGCTCGTCTTTTTTTTTGTATGTGGTCTTCCGCCGTCTGCAGATCCGCTCTTTGCAGAGCCGTGAGGCCCTGACGCTTCTGTAGAGCCGTTCTTTGCAACACAGGCCGCGTACGTCACGCGGCTTTAGCCAGCGTGATCGTCACAATCGGCCTGCGAAAAGACTCTGGCACGCGCGGCATAGGTGCAGCGGTGCCGATGAAAACACATCGAAAGCCTGGCATGATGAGGGAGTAACCTTCAGAACCAGCGGGAGAGAGAGAGAGAGAGAGATAGAGAAGAAGCCGCGCCCTGACGGCGCATCGGAAAAGCACAGTAGACCTTGAAGACGCACCTGCACGATTACATTTAGCGACTACATGTAGGTCGGGCCTGTCCCCCTACAGGCGGATTTTGGATGATATATAATGATACCGGAGAAACAACCCAATCAGATGTTTGTTGGGGCTATGGGGCTATAGGACTATAGGGCTATAGGGCTATGGGGCTGTAGGGCTATATGGGCTACATACGGCTATAGGGATATAGTGCTATAGGGCTATTGGGCTACTGGGCTAGAGGGGCTACAGGACTCTAGAGCTATAGGGCTATAGGGCTATAGCATTATAGGGCTCTAGAGCTGTAGGGCTCCAGGGCTCTAGGGCTCTAGGGCCATAGAGCTACAGGGCTATAGGGCTATAGGGCTATAGGGCTATTGGGCTAGAAGGCTATATGGACTATATGGGCTATTGGGCTATTGGGCTATTGGGCTATACAACTATAAGGCTATAGGGCGATATGGCTATAGGGTACCCGGGCACCCCCGGGCACCTCCGAGCACCCCCGAGCACCCGGGCACCTCCGGGCACCCCCGAGCACCCGGGCACCCGGGCACCCACGGGCACCCGGCCACCGGGCACCGAAATCCTAGGGCACCGGGCACCCCCGGGCACCCCCGGGCACCCCGGGGCACCCGGCCACCAAATCGGCGCCCCACCTCACCTAACCATATGAAGCCGCTAGGACCCCTACAGAGGCAAGCTCTGATTGGGAAACTATCTTGAATATTCCTCCTGGACACGCCCGACTTGACAGCAAACCTTAAAGACGCCACGTGCTGCAAGGACAGCCGAGCGGGATGCCGAGCTCAGTACAGGGCCTCGGGGCTCGCAGGCCGGGCACTGCTTCGTCCCAGCGCGCCGCGAGGGTGAGCTGCACAGGTCGCTCTCTGAAGGGGGGGGAAGGGAAGGAGGGAAGGGAAAGGAGGGGAGGGGAGGTACAATCGGCAATATTCCCCTGAAGCCCTGAGCCTAGCGGGGGCGATGATGATGAGACACTGCTATGCCGCAAGGACTGCACCTTACCTGCCGGGAGAGATCAAACGTGCAAGCACATGCAAAAGAAGAGCAACATGATTACAACGAAGACGGAGTATTATGCCAGCAACAACTAGTGTGAAACACAAGAACGCGGGGCTCACTGGAGAATGCACTACCGAGCTGTGCCGCGCACCCACCGCACACGACATGGTGTATCACGCCTGTGGCCAAAGATATAGTTGTGTTGTAATTGAGGAGTGATCTCATGTTTATGCCATGTTTTCACTCGATTTGCCCCCGCCCGACGGGCGACGGAGGCGAACGCGCAGGCGTCCTTCGCTCCTCCTGCAGCAGGGCCGCGGCCGACTGGCGACTGGAGCGACGACGCCGCCAGCCGCCGCTCAGGCGGACTCCGGAGCCGCCGCCGCCTTGGCCTTCTCGCGCTCCTCGCGTGCGGCCTTGACCTTCTCCTCGACGCAGTCCCAGGTCCTCTCGACGGCCTTTTGAATGAGCCTCGCGGTGTAGTACTGCGCGGTGCCCAGCGTAGCGCCTGCCGTGAAGCCCGCCAGCGTGCCCGGCGGTCCGAAGGCGCTGCCCGCAAAGGCGCCGGCGAGCGCGCCAGCGCCGACGGAACCCACGAGGCTGCCGAGCTCCTCGTCGCCCCCGCTGTAATCGGCCACGTGCTTGCCCGCGATGGAGCCGATGGCGGAGGCGAAGCCGGCGGGGCCAATGGAGGTTAAGGTCACGGTCCCCACCACCCCGCCGAGGGCCGCCTGGGTGGCGGTGGTCACGACCACGTCGCTCGCGCCGCTTGCGGCGACCTGGTTCAGCACGGCAGTCGCGGAATTCACCGCGGCCTGGCTGGCCAGCATGTTGACCGTCTTCGATCCCGCCGAGGTCGCCGTCAGCGAGACCGCCTTCTCGCCCAGCGCCAAGGTCTCGTCGGTCATCACACCCTCGATGGCGGCCTCGGCGGCTTTAAAGGCCTCGTCGTAGATGTACTCTGGGTCGAGGGGGCCCTCTCTCTCGGCGGCCCTTCGGGCCGCTTGCATGGACGCGTCCTGGGCGCTCAGCAGCACGCGCTCCGCCAGCTCCCGCTTAACCTTGTCCAGCTCGGTCTCCTCGGGCTCGGTGGTGGTCTCCTCGCTCTTGCCCGAGAAGCCATTCGGGATGGCCGCGGAGCACGCCGTGCACGCCTGCCCCATGGCTTGCCCCATGGCTTGCTCGGCCCGCCCGCGGGCGGCAGAGGGAAGCGAGGGGTAAGTTTGTTGGTTTGGGAGGCGAGGCGATCTTGAGCCAAAATGCCTACGAGGCGCGGCGTCGCTCGTCTTTGGGACGCGTCCGCGGGCCGCGCGAGCTCGACCACATCCACGCCGGCCTGCTTGGCCCCCCCTTTGCGGGGTGCTCGTGCGAACCCTCCACGAGCCCATTCCTCTCTTATACCCAAAGCAACTGCGCAGCCTGATTCCCTAAGGCGTGGCTGCGCTACTGGTCACTCCAACAGCTCTTCGCGCAGGTTCGTCCATACCTGGCTCCAGACGCACACATTTCTTTCTCATTGGACCCGCTCTGCCTGCGCGCGATCTTCCCCGAGGGGCCAGCGCAAAACCAGCGTAGCCCGGACATGGACGCCGAAGGCGCAGCTAATCATGGCAGGAGAACGGCCGCCGTCTAGGTTGCCGCCGATTGAGACGACGACGACGACGACGACGACGACGACGACGACAACGACGATTACGACCACCGCGGCGACGACTACGACCACGACAACGACGACGACGACCACGACGACGACGATCGTGACGGCGACCACATAAACAACGACCACGACCACGACGACGACAACGAAGGTCACGACGACCACGTTGACAACGACGACGACGGCGACGGTCACGACAGCGACAACGACAACGACAACGACGACGACGACGACCACCACGACGACGACCACGACGACGGCGACGACGGAAACGACAGCGATAACGGCGACAACGACAACAACGACGACGACCACGACTACGACGACGACTACGACGACGGCGGGGGCGCCAATGACAACGACAACGACGACGACGACGACGACGACGACGACGACGACGACTACGACGACGACGACGATCACGACGACGGGGGCGGCGGCGGCGGCGGCACCAATGACAACAACAACGGCGACGACGACGACGAGGACTACGACGACGACGACGACGACGACTACGACGACTACGATGACGACAACGACGACGACGACGGCGACGACGATGACCACGACTACGACGACAACGACGACGGCGGCGACAACGGCGGGAGCGACAATGACAACGACCTTGGCAACGACGACGACGACGGCGACGACGGCGGGGGCGACAATTACAATTACAATCACAATTACAACGACAACGACAACCACGACGACGACGACGACAGCGACGACAACCCTTACATCCCTTGGCGGCGGTGTTTCGAGCTCCCCTAGCGTCCGCTTCGGGGCGCGGCTGTCCCTAGGGAGCAGGTTCCCCAAAGGTTCTCCATGAGGTCCCCGTGGGGCGCCACTGGTTCCCGATAGGGTCCCCCTGGCGCCCGATGGTAACCCCTTAGGTTCCCAATGGGGACTGCATAGGTTCCCGATGGGTTCCCCAATGGGTTATCCCAAGGGTTTCCAAAGGGGTTCCATAGCGTTTCCATCAAGTTTCCATCGGCTTTCCATCGCGCTTCTGCAGGGTAGAGTTCCTATCGGGCTCGCCATAACGTTTCCGTAAGGGTTCTATGGGGAGTCCATAAGGGTTCCATCCACAGGATTTGCAAGAATTTCCATCGCATGTCTGTGAACCTTCCATTTGGTTTCAAGAAGGGTCCTCCCAAAAAAGGGGAGCCCTGCCCTGAAACGGAGCCCGGAAACGGGAACCTTTAGACGACGCCAACCGTGCACCAGACCAGCTCGACACACGCAGCTGCGCGTGCCATCACGCGCAAAAGGGTGCATCAAATCAAACTGGTCTAGTGCATGGTTGGCGTCGTCGAGAACCTGGCCCACCTGACGCTGCCCCTGAGGAGGTGAGGGAGAACGTTAAGTCGGGGGCGCGCAAACATGGATTAGCGACCCATGGATTTGGCGCGCGGTCGCCAAATCTATGGATCGGGGGAGGTGCCCTCACCAAAGTGCTGCCGGTGCCGCCCCATTCGGCAGCGGAAATCGTTCCCCATGGAAACGGGACCCGTCGCTAATCCACGCCCCCTTGAGCCCTGTTTGCATCGCCTGATTCAGGAAGACCACCTCAGGGGAGGGAGCATCGCCCTGAAGTCGGCGGCACCATCGCCGACAGATCGGCGACAGGCCCCCGACAGCGCAGCCGCACGTCTTACTGGGCGGGGTGGGCCATCGGACGTCGGGCCCAGGCCCCTCGCTGCGATGGGGTGTTGATGCCTGTCCCCCCGAGCCTGCAATCAGGTCGGGCATGCCCCCCTACAGGGGAAGTTTGAGCGCACAAAAAACTCAAAAGTACTCAACAAATCGTCCCCGCGACTATGTTGTAAACTATTTTTGAATATTCCTCCTGTAGAGGGACAGGCCTGACTCAAGCCTACCATCAAAGGATGCGCGGTAAGAATGCGCAGTAAGAATGCAGGGGCCTAGGACGCCCGTGTTTGAGGCTTCTTCAGCGGGCCTGGCCATCGAGAGTGGTGGAGGACGGACCGAAGATAGCCGAAGAGGCAAGGATGCAATACTAAAGGGAAATTAGGACACACAAATAAATACACACAAATAAAATGATTCCCCATATTTTCCCATATTTTCTGGGTTTCTGTCTTCCCCCCCACTTCCCATATTTTCCCATATTTTCTGGGAATCGACGAATAATTGTGTCTGTGTGTTTTTTCCCCTCCTGAGCAATACCCTTTTGTTTTAACAAGTTCTTGTTGAGTTTTGTATGTTTGCCTTTGAAGGTAGTCGGCGCGTGCGCCGATCAGTACGAGCCACGTCGTGGCGAGGAGGTGGCGGCCCTGAAGAATGGATGCAAGGCTACCCCGTGGGAAGGCGACCCTCCTTACCATCAGTCTCTTGACTGTGGCCCCTCCCTGGCGCTGCGGGCGGCGGGATCCAGGTCGGCGTGGGCCGCTCCGCGGCGGCCGGCGGGGGGGTGGGGCGGCTGGAGCTCGCGCCTGCTCGTGCAGCACGGCGGAGTCTATGATCAGCTGCGCGGGGAGGGGGGAGGAGGGGGGGCTCTGTCTCGTCCTCCTCGTCCTCCTCCTCCTGGTTCTCCTCTCTGCCGGGACACCTGACTTGCCCGAATACGCTTCCGTGCTCAGCCTACATCGCCGTGACGAGCATTTCTTTCAAGCTGCCTTCGCCGATGGTGTAGCAGGGGGCAGCAGTTCGGAATAAGAATGTGCCAACGACTTCGCGCGCGGGCGCACCCCGC